TGTGTTAGTAACTTGTAGGCTGTCTCTTGTGTTTTACTATCTGTAGAACAGTGGTGTGTGAGGTAGCAGATGGACTTCCACTCCGTGTCTGTGAGTGTGTTGCCGAGGGCAGCCTCCCATTTCCCCATAAAGAGGGGTGTCTAGGATGGGATTTCTGTTTGGAGTATAGGAAGGACACTCCATGTGGGAGTGGGTCTGGGTGTATGCAGACCACCTCTAGTGAGGTACGGTCTCTGGTGAGTGCCGGTCCCTGTGGTAGTGTGTGGATAAAGTTGGTTAGTTGGGCGTATCTAAAGTGGTGCATGAAGGTGTCTCCCCCATCATATCCGTTAGTTTTTTACATTTCCCTCCCTGAAGGACGTGGTGCAAGCATGGGGATGTGTCTGGGAGGATATCTTTGAGGGCTCTTGAGTCTAGTCCCGGGGGGAAATTATTGTTGTGTGTCAGAGGTAGGAGGGGAGAGTGGTACGGTGACATGTTCCCCTTCCTCGCAGCCCTCCTCCACACTTTCAGGGTATGTTTTGTGTATATGGACATTTCGCCCCACTCGGCCGCATCCCAGCCCCAGGGGAGTCTGAGAGCGGCCTGCCTGCATCTGTCTCCTCCACCGTCTTCCATAGTTTGTGCACTTTGTCTTTTGACCACTCCACGACTCTCTGTAGGTGTGTAGCCACGTAGTACAGGTGGAAGTCTGGGAGGGCTAGTCCCACTTTGTCCTTGGGTCGCGTCAGGGTGGAAAGTTTCATCCTGGGTCTCCCCCCATTCCACACATATCTAGTCATTTCTGTTCTGAGTGTGTTAAAAAAGGGGCCCGGAATCACGATGGGAATGGTTTGGAGAAGGTATAGGAGGCATGGGAGGAAATTCATTTTTATGACCTGGACTCTCCCAAGCCACGAGATATGCGGATATGACCATTCCTGCATGTCTCTTTGGAACGTTTGGAGCGTATCAGTAAAATTTTCTCTAAACATGTCCCCGCTCTGCTTGGTTAGCCAGATTCCTAGGTATCTAATTATGTGGTCGGGCCATTGGAAGGGGAAGCTACGTCGTAGGGGGTCTGCTCGTGTGGTAGGCACGCTAACGTTGAGGATGAATGATTTACTGTAGTTGATTTTCAGGTTAGATATGTCTCCAAATATCTGTAGGTCTCTCTGAATGTTAGGGAGGGAGATTTCGGGATTGGTCACCACAAAAAAAAGGTCTTCCGCATATGCGGCTCCCTTGTGGTGTACGTTGCCTGTCGTTAGGCCAGTTATGTCTGTGTTGTGTCGGATATGCATGAGAAACGGTTCCATAGCGAGGACGAACAGGAGTGGGGAGAGGGGGCACCCCTGCCTCATGCCATTGTGTATAGTAAAGGCATCAGTTAACGCCCCGTTGACCAGCACCTGGGCTGTTGGTTCTCGGTATAGCGCCTCTATCCAGTGTCGTATGTGTGGTCCCAGTCCCACGTGGGCTAGCGTTTCGAAGAGGTATATCCAGCAGACTCTGTCAAAGGCCTTCTCTGCATCCGTTGACAGCAGGAGAAGGCCTCCTTTTGTACTTTTCCCGTGCATGATGGTGAGCGCCCTGACGGTGTTGTCTCGTGCCTCGCATCCCGTCACAAATCCCACCTGGTCAGGGTGGACCAGTGATGGGATGTGCTTTGTAAGTCGCGTCGCCAGGATTTTGGCCAGTAATTTAATGTCGCAGTTTATGAGCAAAATCGGCATCTAGTTTCCGCATTGTTCCCTATCTTTGCCGTCTTTGGGAATAATGGTTATGTGGGCTGTTAGGGCTTGTCTGGGGATGTGATTCCTGTCTCTTATAGCGTTGAACGCTTCCACCATGGGTGGGTATAGGTCCTCGGCGTATGTCTTATAATATTTGGTCGGTAGGCCGCTCGGTCCTGGGCTTTTGCCTGGTTTAGTTAGTTTGACCGTCGACGCTAATTCCTCTATCGTGATGGGTTCGTCGATTAGCTCTGCGACTTCCGTATCAAGGCTCGGTATCGGGTGTTTTGCTAGGTATTCCCGGACGGAGGCGCATCTTCGCCGATTCGGTTCTCGGTTGAGGGAGAGTGTATAGCTCTGTGTAGTAAGTGCGGATCGTTCTCAGAATGTCTGTCGGAAGTCAGTGTAAGGTCCCCTGCTTATCTCTGATCTTGTCAATGTATGTGTGTTTTGTTCGTCTGTCCTATGTATGTCGGCCAGGAGGTCTGTTAGCCGTGCTTCGACTTGTTTCTTTAATATTGCCCCCTGTAGTATGTAGTGGCCCCTTCTCACGCTTTTGTGTGCTTCCCATCGAATTGTCGGGGATGTCTGCTCCGCTGTGTTAGTTATTAGGTATTACCTAATTTTCTCGCCCATGAGGGGCGTGACCTCTAGTTTGGAGAGTAGGTTTTCGTTAAGTCTCCATTTCGGGGACGTGGGACGGAAGAGCAGTGATTTAAGTTTAAGTGATACTGGGGCGTGATCTGACCAAGTGGCCACTCCGATTGTTACTTCGGACACTAGAGAGAGGTCGTAGTGTGTAGTGTATATGTGGTCTATTCGGGAGTAAGAGTTGTGCGGTGGGAGTAGAAGGTGAAGTCTCTTATGTCCAGGTGGTGGACTCTCCAGCAATCGACAAGGCGTCGGTTGCGGAGTAGGGATTTAATGTTCTGGAGTTGTTGTGTTGGAACGTGGGAGGCGCCCGATGAGTTGTCCCATGTAGGGTCAAGTGCTATGTTAAAGTCCCCCCGCCCCCAGTATGAGGGTCCCTTCTGTGAAGTCTTGGAGTTTGCAAAGTGTCTGTTTGAGGAAGCTGTTACAAACTGCCATTTGTAACTGTTATTTTATTTGACAAATTGCCCTGCTTCCCTGTGTTATGGAGAAGCCTAATTGCCAGCCTTCTGCCCCATGACTATGGACCTAGTGTGTATGGCGATTTGACTGTATTTGTGGGATCTGAGCGCTGTTTGGATATATTGAGCGCTCAGATCCAAGCCATCTGGGGATAGGTTGAATGTGGGGGTTCTGTTCAGTTCAATAGGAGTTATGTATTTTTGTGTCTTTTTGTGTCTTTTGCTAACATGTGGTTAATGGAGTCTGCCTCTATCCCTGGATAATTGGATTACTTTCCCCATTGTCCAGGATAGAGGCCTCTGTAAAACCGGTTTGGGCCAGAAAACCATGCTGCCAGCCAGGCCCCAAAAGACACTTTTGCTAACTTTTGAACCCCTTGTCTGATTTGTGCCATTTTTTAATATGTTGCTCCCCTTAATGGATTGATTCCAAATATGTAATTTTTATGAAGATTGGATGTGTAGTTTGGAAGTTATAGTACATGTATAAAAACTGTATTTTTACTGTTCTGTTTTAATTATGTTATGTGATTATCTGAGGGATGGGAATTTCCCCGAATGTATATTGTTCCGATTGGTTATACTGCTAATTATGTGGGTGTCTCCCTTGCATGGGCAGAATCTCATAAAAGCAGAGTGTGTGCCATTAAACATCAGATCTTCTTGACCCTCAATACGTAGCCTTGTCTCGTTATTGGAGGGAACTGCTATATCACACTGGGGATTGCTATGCTCTGCATACTCCCCTGAGCTTTTAATCACTTAGCTCTTTTAAGAGCTGTTCCTGTTACGCTCTCCTGGAGGAGAGGTCTTCCCCACACGGTCCTGGAGGACAGAAGCTGATCCAGGGTGGAAGGAAGACGGCGAGACTCCAGTTAAGCTACGGCGGTTGTGGAGTCTGCAGTGGTTGTGGTGTCTGCTGCAGTGTTTGGAGTCCTCAGGAAGCGCTAGGAGCATCCATCAACGGAGGGTACTTGGTCGGAGTACAAGGAGCTCCGTTACAGAAGCGATAGTGCTGTTTATTTGGGGCGTAGATGTTTGCGAACGTATACTGGTGATCTGCGATCTTCCCCTTGAGGAATAAGTACCTGCCCTCGTCATCTGACATGCATCCCCCCTCCTGGCACGGCATCCCCCCTATGGAGAAGTATTGCTGTCCCCTTGGCCTTACCCCCTTGATAGTCACTGTAGTATCCTTGCGTGTAGTGTTGGTTGGTCAATTTGGGTCTGGTCCCCTTTAAAAAAAAAAAAAAAAAAAAATGGGTTTCCTGTATCATCATATGGAGGCCCTCTGTTTATGAAAATCTGTCAGTGCTCCCGATCTCTTCTCTGGTTTATTTAGGCCTTTTGCATTTATTGTGAGGACATGTAAGCACTCCCCTTCTAACTCTGCGCAGACGTTCCGTGGCTGTCCAATCATAGACTTCCCAATTCAGCTTAACCCCTTAAGGACCAAGCTTCTGGAATAAAATGGAATCATGACGTCATGTGTCCATAAGGGGTTAATGAGAAGCCTTTGCAAAGCAGGTGCTCTGGACAATTACATGTTTTTAAGGATCACTCCAGGGGAGCTAATGGAAGCTCTGTGCGGGATACTATAGTCACCAGAACAACTCCAGTTTAATGTTTTTGTTCTGGTGAGTATAATTATACCATTTTCATGCAAACATTGAGTGGCTGCCACTGGAGGTGCTTCCTGGGGCAGTGCTGCAAAGTAGGCAGCACTGCCATTCAGATTCTCCACGCTGTGCATGGCATAGAAGAAAGAATACATCTGATGGCAAGTATAATATATCTCATAATTCCTGGTCCCCATGGCGACCTAGCTCTTGGGATTTGTCGAGCTCTGATATATTAGAAGGCGGAGACTGAAGTTGTGGGAGGGGTTACCTGGCTATTTAAACCCAGGCCCCCTACACCACTGGGCTGATCCTTTGTGCTTCCGGTTCGATACTCACCTGGAAACTCGATCCCTCGCTGACAATGCCGGTCACTCCAAGCACACGAATAGCGTCTGTATTTACTTACCATTACGACAAGTCTACTTACTACCACAGGTTACCGCTGCTACACCAGGGCCCCTCCGGCATCCAACATCCATCCGTGGGCTTGGGAATCCTTTTCGGCCGTGTTACGACTCATCCCGTTACTGCTACTCCTGCTCCACTGCCGCCGCAGATCACACACCTCCGACTGACCAACTTTAAACTACTTCCGGGTTGCATCTCCTCTGCCTGTCTCTGAGAAATCCACGAACAGTCAGTTTCCCCAAACGGGCCAATACACACGATTTGCTTAACGCCGTTACTGCGTTCTATGCCATCCCGCATTAAATGGGCTTTAAAGCCGTTGCGGCGGCATAGAACGCCGTAACGGCTTTGAGCCCTGGAGCTGCTGGGATACTTACCTTCCCGGCGCTCCGCTTCGGGAGGACTGCCTGACAGCCCAGACGGCCCTCCCATGCCAAATCAGGCCCCCGGGGGTCATGTGATCACTCCGAAGAGCGATCACATGGCCCCTTATAGCAGGCTGTGGGACTGCCTGCAGGAGGACTGTCTGAGCTGTCAGACAGTCCCCCTGCTGGTGGGAAAGTAAAAAAACATGTTTTAAAATAAAATGTGTGTGTGTGTGTGTGTGTGTGTGTGTGTGTATATATATATATATATATATATATGTATGTATATGTATGTATGTATGTGTGTATGTATGTATATGTGTGTGTATATGTAACGTCATACATTGTGTATTTTAATGTTAATATAAGTACATATATTCGTATTAAAATTTGCTTAGACTGACGTTACACACACATATATATATATATATATATATATATATATATATATATATAAATATTTATATATACACGTATAATTAAAAGAATAAATACAATAATAAAATATTTAAAAAATTAAAATAGATTATATATTCAAATGTAATTTCACTCTAACTGTATTTTGTTATTAAAATATATATATATAATTGTAACAAAATATACTTAGAATGACATTCTATATATATCTATCAATATATAAAATACAAATAACCGCAAATATATTTATATAGATAAATATATATAATTACACAAATGATTACATAAGTATACACGTAGAATCTATACACATATATGTATATATATTAAAATTCTACGTGTATATTTAAGTAATATTCCAGCATAATTATGTGATTTTATTAATTAAAATTTGATTGACATGCCTGACAACCCAGGCAGAAAGTGCAGAGAATTTAATTTGCAAGCACCATATTTAACCCTGTAACTTTCCAAGACACCATAAAACCTGTACACGGGGGGTACTGTTGTACTCGGGAGACTTCGCTGAACACAATATTAGTTTTTCAAAATGATAAATTGTATTACAACGATATCTAAAAGTGAAGTTTTTTGCATTTTTCATACAAGAACGGCACTTTTACTGACGATATTGTTGTACTATGTTTTACTGTCTTGAAACACTAATGTTTGTGTTCAGTGAAGTCTCCCAAGTATAACAGTACCCCCTATGTACAGGTTTTATGGTGTTTTGAAAAGGTGGAGAGTAAAATATAAGACTTGCATTTAATTTTTTTCACATTGAAATTGGCCAGTTTGGTAATGTTGCCTTTAAAACTGTATGGTAGCCCAGGAATGAGAATTATCCCCATGATGACATACCATTTGCAAATGTAGACAACCCCCAAGGTATTGCAAATGAGGTATGTCCGGTTACACAAAAACCAATCTGAACGCTATCTTTGGCCAGTGTTTGTGACTAAGTGGCTACTAAAAAAGACGGACATACCCCACTTGCAATACCCTGGCATGTGTACTTTTGCAAATGGTATGCCATCATGGGGGTAATTCTCATTCCTGGGCTACCCCATAGAACGCCGTAACGGCTTAAGCCCCCAGGAGGTTTGATCTACTTACCTCCGCTGCGATCCTCTTCTGGAGGGCTGCCTGACAGCCCAGGCAGCCCTCTCCGGCAAATGAGGCCCCCGGGGGCCATGTGATCGCTCATTAAATTAAAAGTATTTTTATATATATAATATATGTATGTGTGTGTATATATAATATATACATATTATATATGTAACATCATACAAAGTGTATTTTAATATTAATATAAGTACATATATTAATATTAAAATACACTTAGAATGACGTTACATATATATATATATATGTGTAAATATATTATATATATATGTTATATACATATATATATATATATATACACGTATAATTACAATAGTAAATAAAATAATAAAATATTGAAACAAATTTAATATAAATTATATATTCATATGTAATTTCATTCTAACTGTATTTTGTTAATATATATATAATGTAACAAAATACACATATATATATATTTACAAATAACCGCATATATATATAAATACATATAATTATATAAAAGATTACATTAGTATACACGTAGAATTTAAATACCTATAAATGCATATATATTAAAATTCTACATGTAGATTTAAGTAATCTTTTAACATAATTATGTGATTTGATTAAAGTTTTATTGACATGCCTGACAACGCAGGGAGAAAGTTCAGAGAATTTAATTCGCAAGCACTATATTTGACCCTTTAACTCTCCAAGACACCATAAAACCTGTACATAGGGGGTACTGTTTTACTCAGGAGACTTCGCTGAACTCAAATATTAGTGTTTCAAACTGGTAAATTGTATTACAACGATGATATTTTAAGTAAAAGTTACGTTTTTTTTGTATTTTTTTACAAACAAACGGCACTTTTATGGACTATATTATTGTTGTAATATGCATTACTGTTTTAAAACACTAATATTTGTGCTTTAGTGAAGTCTCCCGAGAATAACAGTACCCCCCATGTACAGGTTTTATGGTGTTTTGGAAAGTCAGAGAGTCACATATAAGGCTTGCATTTCATTTTTTTGACATTGAAATTTGCCAGATTGGTTATGTTGCCTTTGAGAGCGTATGGTAGCCCAGGAATGAGAATTACCCCCATGATGGCATACCATTTGCAAAAGTAGACAACCCGATGTATTGCAAGTGGGGTATGTCCAGTCTTTCTTAGTAGCCACTTAGTCACAAACACTGGCCAAATATTAGTTTTTTGCTTTTTTCACACAAAAATAAATATGAATGCTAACTTTAGCCAGTGTTTGTGACTACGTGCCTACTAAAAAAGACTAAACATACACCACTTTCAATACCTTGGGTTGTCTACTTTTTCAAATGGTATGCCATTATGGTAATTCTCATTCCTGGGCTACCACACCGTCTCAAAGGTAACATTACTAATCTGGCAAATTTCAATTTGAAAATGGAACGTTCTATATTTGACCCTGTAACTTTCCAAAACACCATAAAACCTGTTAATGGGGGGTACTGTTGTACTCGTACTGATTACAAATATGTGAATTTTTTTTGCAGTAAAACCCAACAGTATTATGACATTTACAGCTAAAATGTGAAGCGGAACTACAATTTTTTTAAAAAAATTAAAAATTTCTTACTGTTTTTAAAAATTTTATTCATAATAAATTATGGTTCATATATAAATATTTGATATGAAATGAAAGCCCTGTTTCTCCTGAACAAAATGATATATAAGTGTGGGTGCACTTAATGTGACAGCGGTGAATTACGGTTGAACAGACATATAGCGCAAATTCCAGTTTTTGTTTACATTTTGTTTTGATCAGAATGTGTACTATTGACTCTGTCCTGAAGGGGTTAAACACCATACGCATGGTACCCAACGCACGAATGGTCCATTCGAACGTTTCTTTCTCTATCACGATCCTTGTCAATTTAAGTTTCACTCTTTCGGTAGCTGACCATTAGTCGAACTCACAGAACCAGCCGCAATAGCACACGCTGCCCTCTAGCAGCTACCAAGTAAATTACAACGTTAATATTGTACTGCTCACTGTATATTTGATTTTCTCCTGTTAAACACTATTTTCATCCCTCACAGTCTATTTCTGATAGTTGTTATATGTGTATACAGATAGAATTATTACGCAACCATGTTAGCTATGTTGTTTTACGCCGCTCATCGCTTCTTGTGTACAATGTTGTTACTATCTACCTGTACTTATACGCATAGATCATGTAGTCACCTATGTGACGGACCGCTGGCACTCCGACTGAGTACCTCCTCCAATCGATGCTCCTAGTGCTCGCTGAGGACTCCAACCGACACCATCAGCACTGCAGACCCCACTTCCAGCGATGCAGCTGCGCCGGGGTCTCTGCTGTCTCCACCCACCCTGGACCCAAGGCCAGGATCCAGCTTCCAGTGGGTGAACCTCTCTTTCCCCAGAGAGCAGGAACAAGCTCTTAGCAGAGCTTAGTGAATATACCCTGGGGAGTATAGTGAATATAACAATCCCCAGAGTGTAGTTTTCCAATCCCCCAAACATGAGCCAAGGCTTAATGCTGGAACAAGACTTTACTGGAAGTAACAAAAACAGGTATTCAAGCTACAGTTTCTTTTATGCCCTGCTCCCATGCAGGGGAGGGACACACGCGTTATCTACAGTAGCCAATAAAACAGAGGTTACAGCCCACACAAAATCCTCCCCTCTGCCTGTGATTCAATTATCTTATACAATAGAAGATTCAATTATCACAAGCAGGAAAAATACAGTTTTTACAGCATATTCATAACTTCTAAAATATACATCACATTCACATAAAAATTATATATTCACAATCAATCCATTCAGGGAAGAAACATATCAAATGGCATGAATCAGACCAGGGGTTCAGAAGTTAGTAAAGTATCTTTTGGGGCCTGGCTGGCAGCATGGCTATCTGGCCCAAACCGGTTTTACAGAGCCCTCTATCCATAAGACAATGGGGAACATAATCCACTTATATCCGGGGATAGAGGCAGACTCCATTGAGCACATGTTCCCAGTAAAACAGAAAAGGATACAAAAATACATAACTCCTATCATACTGAATTGAACGGGCCAAATCTCCCAGGGTCCATAGTCACAGGGCAAGAGGAGGGCAAGCAGTCCTCTCCAGGCACAAGTGGCGAAGGGCACTTCGTCACAGTAATAAATCCATGGATAAAGTAGCAGGGAGGGAAAGTATCGAATGAATGGAGGGGGATTCTTCACAACCTATATCCCCATAATTAGGTCATCCATTCTGCCTGCGCTGATTTCATCGACTAATTACGGTCTCTGTACTCATTCTGCTAGCTGAACATCTTCCCCTCAGAAGCGGGTAAACGTAAGTCTGCAATTTCCCAAACATGCTTGTCACGTCACATCCTTATGCATTAAGCTTGTGGAATCATTTCTCTGCTTGTGTCTAATACCCATATTCATCAATCAAGCTACGCTCCAGGGCCATCATAATAACAATATGTCTATAACTTGTCTATATCTTGCTGCCACAGGATCCACCCGATGCCACTTTCAGGTACATAACTTTTCATACGTTGCGTGGGCCAGTAGCTAAAAGGATGCGTTTATCCTC